TATATATAAAGTGTGTGTGTGTGTGTGTACAGATAGATGGCTAGACATGGAATGATTTGACTTTGAAGGTCCTCCTACAAATAACTTTGCATATTTCTTTCAACTTTGTTGGTAAAGCACTGATAATGTGAATACAAAACTGACCTTAATGCTTCAAACTCACATTGATTGTACACTGTAATAAAAATAACAGTTTCTTTTTCGTTGTCATGGTGACCCTGGAGCAACCACTTTCGTGGTCTGTCATATTGATGGAAGAATACCTGATGTCGTTGCATTAACTTGCTGTGAAAGCTACAATTATGAGTTCACTGCAATTCTTGTACAAAGTTGGCTGCTCACTCATTTTTTTTAAGTGGTACAGGCACACAGGTAATAATGTTTTCTTCTATTTCTTTCTACATCCATAAAAAAATTCAAATGCAATTCTTCCTGAAATTCTTTTCCTAATTTGGTGATTTGAGGTGTAAACATCGAAGCGCCAATGCCTTTGAAGGAGGGATATTGTGTAAAATGTCAATTAAAAACAGAATACAATTATTTACAAATCTCTTTCAACTTCTATTCAACTGAATACACTACAAAGACAAGATATTTAGTTCGACCTGAAGAACATTATTGTTTTTTGTTTGTTTGTGTGTCAAATATTCTCTCATTTTAAATTTGACGCCTGCAACACGTTCCACAAAAGATGGGACAGGGGTAACAAAAGCCCGGAAAAGTTGAGGAATGCTCAAAAAACACCTGTTTGGCACACTCCACAGGGCATCCCCAAAAGTGTTAGTTGTTCACCAGCAAGAATGAGGTAAGCTTCACCACTTTGTGAAGACTACATGAGCATATGGTTCAACAGTTTAAGAATGTTTATCAATGTGCAACTGCAAGAAATGTCGGGTTTTTATCATCCACGGTCCATCAATAAATTGTGAGAATCTGCAGATTTATCAAACTTCAAAAGCCAGCATCTGTGACACTTTGGGGTTGTGCTCATGGCACGAGTAATTGTCACATTTGTGTTGGCACCATTAATGGTGAAAGCTACATAGAGGTTTTGGAGAAACCTCTGCTGCCATACAAGCAAATTCTATTTCAGGGGCATCCCTGCTTATTTCAGCAAGACAATGCCAAGTCACACTGCATGGGTTACAAAGAGTGCCAGCAGTCCAGACCTGTCTCCCTTTGACGATCTGTGACCCATGATGAACCGCGAAATACGACAAGGGAAATCTGGAGAGTTGAGCACCTCAAGTTGTACCTCAAGCGAGAATGCGAAAGAATTACACCTAAAATTTTCAAAAGTCAGTGTCTGCAGTCACCAAGTGCTTATTGAGTGTTTTTAAACGTCGTGGTAAACATGCCCCCGTCCCAGCTGTTTTTATGAATGTGTTACAGGCATCAAATAAAAAATAAGTGCCAAACAAAAATGGTAATCAGTTGGAACAATCTTGCCTTTGCTGTGTATTCAATTGCCTCTAGGTTGAAAAGAATTTGCGAATCATTGCATACCGTTTGTAGTCACGTCATCGAGAATAATCGTGACTGACAGATAATTGTACAAATGATCATTTCCTCCTCACATACAAGCCACTCATCGTAACTGACCCGCCCCGAGCTGTTCTATTTCCAAAATCAAGGGTCTGGACAGCTGGCTTTTTTGTCCCCCTTCCTTCATTGGCCCCCTGATGCCGTCTGGTCCCAGGTGTATGCACCGGTTGCACTTTCAATTTTTACGCCAAAGCATTTTACATAACGTCCCTACATCATTGGATTTGGGATTAGTAAAACTAAACTCACAACAACATCAGTACATATACAGTGTCTGATAATTGTTGTTTGCTCTTCATAGCGTTGGTGGGAAATGACATTACCCTGGATGACCGTATATGGTGAGCCTGGGAACAAAAAAACACCTGTGCTACTACTAAAACTGTTCTGTTAACATCGACGGACCCTGCAGTACTAGACCAATTTTTTTCTTTCATTTAACATTTTCTCCATTTCCACAGCTTGATGAACTACCCACAAGCCTCTTCCCTGTGCAATGTCGACGGGTGATACGATGAAGGATGTTGTCGCTTTAGCATGCTTGAGAAACAAGGAGAGCAGTGGAAGCCATGACAGTGTGATCAGCATGAACTCGGGCTTTGTGAGTCAATCATCTCCTCTACAGAGTGCTTGTGTATCTGATATTCTTCGACACAAGCCATTATCCCTGTTCATGTGCACGCAAGTCAAACTACCTTCCATTTCATTCGACTTCAGTACGGCACGCAATAGATGACATCAGTGTTATAATAGTTGGTTATTTTTCGTTCTGTACGAAATGCAGCTAGGTAGTTTCATTTAGTTTTTAGAGTGGGGTTGTTTTTGTTTGTTTTTTCAAAAAAGAAAACACATTTTAGTTTAGTTTTTATAAGTTTGATTTTTAATATTAGCTTGTTTTCAGATATGAGGCAAGACATAGAAAAGGTCACGTAGTACTGTGTAGTAAACTACAATTCCCAAACGATTGTTCAGCCTTCCTTCTTCCATATGGAGTTAATGTCAAAATGAATGTTTAATGTTTAAAATGAACCCCAAATCTCATTTATGACATTAATTGATAAATAAAATAATGATATAATTATACAGTGGATCCCCGCTATGACCAGGCCGGCCCACGAGTAGCGAAAATCCACATGTAATTGACACCCATTAAAATGCATTGAGAGGGGGTAAAAATGTGTTTTTAGCTCAAAAACGGAACCAAAATATGCAGATAAACCTACAATATGTGCATACCCCAAAAATTAGGAGTTCCCCTCAAAAAAATTGAAACTAAAAAAAATGAACACAAAATGTTTAGTTATTTTTGGGGGGAAATAGGCAGAAAAGAATTGCTGAACTGCAAGTATGCACTCCACTGTAGTTTTATAATCTTAAAATGTAGATTCAATTAATTAATATCATTTTTAAGCACACAAATAGTTATTTTTATGAATGGGAATATTTTTTTCAATTTTAGATCTAGTTATTTAGTGACTTATTGTGAACTATAATCATCTTGCATCACATACAGACACATGTCGTCTGCCCCCTTGTAGTATTTAATTGCATTGTCGTCCATGGTTAACCCAATTAGACCATGAAGACCATCCAATTTAACAATTTGTTAGGATTAAATGGTCAAAGAGGGTCTTCTGGGATTTGGCTGGTTCTGCAAAGTGTAAAAGTATGAAGAAACACAAACAACAAAAAATAAAACATGGTATGGTATTCTTTCATTCCCGTCTAGTTGTTAGAACATCAAAAGATAAGATAAGATATCCTTTATTTGTCCCACAATAGGGAAATTTACAGTCCACAGCAGCAAGATAATGGGGAGAAAGAAGAAAAAGAAAACGAACACTGTTCAATTAAGTGCAATGTAAATACCGATATGGATAAGGTCGCAGTGCTATTTACAATTGTCTTCCACATCATTTTATTTATTTTTTATTCAGCAGCCTGACAGCAGTCGGTAGGAAGGAGCGGCGGTATCTCTCCTTCTTGCAGCGCGGGTGTAACAGTCTCTGGCTGAAGGAGCTACCTAGTGCTGTCAGGGCGGGCTGGAGGGGGTGGTAGGGACTGTCCATCATAGCTTTTAGCTTAGTTAGCATCCTCCTGTTGCCCACCTCCTCCAGAGTGTCTAGGGAGCAGCCCAGGACAGAACTGGCCTTCCTGACCAGTCGCTCCAGGCTCTTTCTGTCCCGGGCCTGTCCGTGTTTGTAGACCAGTCCAGTTTGTTGTTTATAAGAACACCTAGGTACTTGTAGGAGGCCACCCTCTCTATGTCCATACCCTGGATGTTCATCGGTGCTGGTGAGGACTGTTTCCTGCAGAAATCCACAACCAACTCCTTAGTTTTCCTAGGGTTGATCTGGAGGTGATTCTGCTGGCACCAGTCCACAAAGTCCTTCGTCAGTCCCTTGTACTCCCGATCGTCCCCCTCTGTAATGAGGCCAACAATCGCAGAGTCATCGGGGAACTTCTGAAGGTGGCAGTTTGGAGTGGTGTGTCTGAAGTCCGAGGTGTATAGGATGAACAGGAATGGGGCCAGAACAGTCCCCTGCGGCGCTCCAGTGCTGCAGAGAAGCCTGTCTCTCAACTACATTGTAGTTCCTCTCATTTCTCAGAGTGACATTCAGGATGATAATGATGAGAAAGAGAGAGAGAGGCAGTGAGAGATCAGGAGAGAAAGAAATGTGTCCAACGCTAAGGTATATTTGTCTGCAGAGTGAGGACAGCATGGAACACTTATCTGCTGAGGAGAGGGCATGCCTCATGTATCTGGAGCAGACCATTGAAGCATTGGAGATGCAGGAGGACAGCGGACTATCGAATGACGAACCAGACTCTAGACACCCTCCAGAGAATATGGGTCTAAATAAAGTCAATGGTATATGAGAAAATGATCTCTGTTCCTGGACAAGATGTTTGCTTGTTTATTTATTGTCATCTGAGTCATTTGTACTGTGCTTTTGTCTTGTAGCTAGTTCCAGATTGGACTACAAGACCAGAATGGATCAGCGATCGGAGACCTTGACCACTCTGCTGGGTGGCTTTCCCGTCGGCAAGAAACCTGTGTACATATCAGTAACTGAAGAAAACATAGCGGGGCATAATCTTTGGAATCAAACCTGTGAACCAAACTTCACCACTGCTTCTAAAGCCAGCACAGAAGCGCTTAAAGCGTCTATGACGGTCATATCACCACCTCAAGTTCTGGTTACTGACTCAGTCACTGGCCTCAACAAATCACTCGATACGCATACTGATGGACTGGGTTTACCGACCATTGACGACTCTCCAAACATAATCCCTTGCATTACTCCTGAGTTAGACCTAGGTCTGATCCCACCACCATCTGCTTTCAGGGATGATCCGGGACCTTACCCAGAGCCCGACCCAGAGCCTGACCCAGAGCCCGATCCAGAGCCTGACAGCATCAAAGCCTCCCCTCACGTCAACAGCAGCAGGCCAGTCTCTATTGACTTGAAGCGGCTATATCAGAGAGCCTTGGAGAAGAGGCCACCAGTTAGCCCCCCTGTTAACAAGAAACCTACAGACAAGCTCAATATCAAAGCTCATCAGACTCCCCTCGCCTTGGAGTCTCTTCTACCAATGATCCTTCATCCTGAAACCAAAGAGCCCCAGAGCCCACCCTCTGTGGCCCCTAAACCCAAAAGGCTTTCATTCCACTCACTCTCCCAAACACAAACGGAAGTACCTAATACGCCAAATGGTAACGGCGACCGACAACCGCTGAACCATGAGAGAATCCACCTTGAGGCCCTCCAGAAGATTGGGCTGCTTAAAGGTTCTGTGACTGATTCAGGCCCCACGGTGAGTCATAAACTTTCCCCGCAAACACGAAAGTCATGGGGACCTCTTCCAGCTCCGAGCAGTCCGACACTCCCGAGTCCATCCAATTTAACACCATCATATCGCTTCATAAGCAGTGCGTCCCCTGGCTCCTTCTCGACTGCCTCGGAAAGTCCGTCTGTCTCCTCTGCCTTCAGTGACCGTGGCAGACCTTGCTCGTCAGGTCGGGAACAATCTTCTGTGAACAATATTTTAGCGAGTTCAAAGTATACTCAATCGAAATCGCCTTCTCTCACATCGTCAGACCTGGTCAAGCAGTTAACCAAGGTCACAGGTTCCCAGTTAGGTGCCATGGAGCACACCAGGCTCCACCTAAGCCGCCCTGTAGATCGTCATGAAAGAATTAGTGTTGAGCAGTGCCTCAATCATGCCACCAGCCCTGACATTCGGCGACGTGTCTCCTCCTATTCTGCCCTGCAGCACTCGAGAGACTCTCACAAGCTGCCTCGGCCACATGGCATCAGTGTACTAATCCCCTCTCGAGATGCAAATGGAATGGACCGCCGTGATGCCCTTAAGAAACTCGGACTGATTAGGGACTAAGACGAGCCAGACACCTCGTCAAAATACCAAGAAGTTCTTACACATAATTAATGACCTGTAAATAAATACAGACAAACATTCGCCATCATGTTGAAAGCTGCAGGAAGTCGGTGTATTTCTCAATGGATATCCTGTGTTGATCAACACCTCAATATTATACAGTGGACCCCCACATATTCTCGATTTGGCACCTGCAGTTTTAGTTGAGTTTTTTTTTTGTTTGTTTTTTTTTGCCTTTTTAAAAAATATTTATGTATTTTATTATTTATTTGCTTTTGGCGGGGAGCCAATCATTTATAGTGATATATCTCCACTAAGTCAATTTTTTGGGGGGGAGGGGTGAAAAAAAAAGTTGAAATGCATTTGAATGGGCATCAGAATTCGAGGATTTTCGCTGTCCGTGGGGCAGCCTGGTCCCTGTCCCCAGTGAATTGTGGGGGGTTCACTGTACTGTGTACATGTACATATCCACTTCGAGTACCTTATAAACTGCCTCATTAGCCTTGATTGCAGACATGCACACTATTGCACTCAGTATATCTCCTAAAACTGTCAGTTAAGCACTCAAAGATTCATGTTTAAATCCTAGAAAGAGAATACATGACATTAAACTTATAAAGGAAACGACGGATGTCTGTTACTGTCTGTTTTCTGCCTCTGCTGACGACAGGAATTTTGGCAACATGCAACATTTTCATTTTTAAGATACCGCATTGAGGCACTTGGCAGGATATGAAGTCAAACAGCAGGAAGGTGGTGATTAAAAAAACTGTTCTGCATTGCTTGTCCCTCCCTTTTGTGACACAAGTGCAAAGATTTTACCGTAGCTGCAAGGGGATATGAATGTCAGATGTTGCCTGTAAATAATTCTTGTCCTCAATGTAGTTTTGGAGTGTCACCTTCAGCTGTGTTGGTGGCTTTAGAGTTGATCAGAAAAGTGTCATTATATAGATTCACTTTGACGTGCATTTGAAATAGGACATATTTTGTGTGATTAAGATTCTGGGTGGGACTTCGTTTGTCTATGAGTGCCCTGCAATTGGTTGGCAACCAGTTAAGGGTGTCCTCAGCCTCCTGCCTGAAGAGGCCTGTGATAGGTCCCAGACCCCCTGACCCTCGTGAGGATAAGCAGATCAGATTATGCATGGATGGAAATCTATTTATGTCGTGTCAAGTCATACACTGAGGCACATGTCGCCGCCTCGTCTACAGCACACTTATCTAATGTGAAGTTGCGAGAACTGGTGCAACCCGTTTTTTGTTTTTTTTTTTGTTTGTTTTTTTTTGTCGTATACTTTAGCTCCGTGCCATGCATGGCACATTGACAAGCTGCATGTCTGTCTGAATAACATGCCTGACGAAATATTAACTTTGGGTTTGTGTATTTGGAGGGAATAGCTTCAGAACAAATCTGGTTGTGTTTTTAACTTCTTAACAAGGCACCCTACGGTAACTTAGCCAGTAGGATACTGTGAATTTGGCATAAACTAATGATTCACAACCTTTATAGAGCCAAGGCACATATTTTAAGTTCGAAAAATCTCAAGATACACCAGCAAACAAAAATCTCACGCCAAATGGATAAGCATGTCAATTATATGCTTTTTTTTTTTTTTTTTTTTTATCTAATAGAAGCTCATTTATTTGTTTTGCCCAGCACTGTACGTCGCTGGGATGGATAGATGACCAAATATTTTTCTGATCAATGAAATGAAATTTGATCATTCGTAAGAGCTCTCACAGCACGCTGGTTAGGAATCACTGGTAAACAAACATTCATTTAAAAACAAATTCATAAAAATAATACTGGCCACTAGAGGGCGGTCCTGATTCAAACATTATCCAGCGCCACTTGATAAGACTTGATGAGAGCCAAAATGTCGGACAACCAAATACAAATTACACTGATGTCTACTTAACCCAACAATCTATTGAAACAGCAATAAAAAATGCTCATATTCTCTCCGTTTTCATTTTAGAGCACGTTATTATAGTGCATGACTGTGTGTAAGAGATCAACCTTGTTTTAGTCATTCAGTAAAAAAAAAAAAACAGCAGACTATATCATTTGTATTTGTTCAATCATAATCCCGCACTTCACCATACACATACAGATACAAGGGCATTGTCATGAAAAGTGTGTTTTAATATTTGCAATGACCTTACATTAGCCTGCACGTCACGAAAGAGCCAAAGGAAATGTTAACAAATTGTCCTCCTCAACAGTGTGAAAGTAATTGTCTGGATCTTTACTGCTGATCATTAAACTCTGAGCGAACAATGCAAAATCAATGTCTTGAAGTCAATATCCGTTTATGTGGACTTCAACTCTAAACCCGTTGTTTTTAT